TGTAATTTATTTCTCACCTTTTCTAAGGAGAGGTGATTGATACCCAGGACATAAACAACTTTCCAGCAAGTGAGGGGACTGAGCTCACAAAAGAAGACATGAAGGAACAGATGCCTCACTTGACACTTAAGGGTGAGGTTGTTTTAACGCTGTTGTCTTCCTACAAATGTATCTTTGTTATCTTTTCTTAAAGATTTTATTTATTTATTTTTAGAGAGAGGGGAAGTGGTGAGAAAGAGAGGGAGAGTAACATCAATGTGTGGTTGCCTTTTGTACACCCCCAAGTGGAGACCTGGCTCCTAACCCAGGCATGTGCCCTGACTGGGAATCGAACTGATGACACTTTGGTCCTCAAGCCAGCACTCAATCCACTGAGCCATACCAGCCAGAACTGTTATCTTCTATATAAAATCCTCACAATGATCTTTATCTTTGTGTTACATAAAGCAATGCTTCTCAAACTTGACTATGCCAATGAATCGCCTGGGCATCTTGTTGAAGCACAGATTGTGTGATTCAGGTCTGGGGTGGAACCTGAGAGATTCTGCATTTCTAACAAGCTACCAAATGATGCCAATGCTACCGGTCCATAGACCACACCTTGCCAATCAAGGACCTAAAAGATGAAAAAATAATACATTAAGATTGTGTCTGACCTTTCATTTCTTAAGCCACAAGTACAACCAATATGTTAATTTGTGCCTGAGGGCACGAGTCCAGCCCAAAAATAACATCCATGTTGTAATATATATTAGTATTTCATTTTAATAGACAAATAATGTCCTCTTGTATGTATATATCACATTTTGTTTCCATTCATCAGCTGATGGTCATTTGGATTGTTTCTACCTTTTGGTTATTATGAATAATGTTGCTATAAATACTTGTGTGCAATTTTTTGTGTGGACAGATGTTTTCATTTCTCTTTGGTATATACCTAGGAGTGAAATTGCTGGGTCATAGGTACCTCTATATTTAACCACTTGGGGGACTGAGAGACTGTTTTCCAAAGTAGCTGCACCATTTTGCTTCCCCACCAGCAATGTATAAAGGTTCTGATTTTTCTACATCCTCATCAACACTTGTTACTGACTTTTTTATTCTAGCCATCCCAGTGGGTGTGAATCAGCACTCTTGTTTTTGAGATTTACCCATGTTTCTGTAAATCAGTCTAATTCTGGTTGCTACACAATATCCCTTTGGTACAGTTACCATAGTTTACCATTGCCCCAGTGGTGGCTGCCAAAGTTGCCACCATTTCATTTTCTTGTTCTACTACTACTTCTAAATGTATAGTTTTACCTTTCACCCTTACATTTTTAATCCATCTGTCACCATCTCTGTATCTGACAAGGATCCTCCTTGTTTTTCATATAGCAAACAATTTTCACAAACAAACTTACTTGTGATTCTACTATGTATGAAGGAACCCCAACATCTCTCTAATATCTAGAGACTCTTGGGTAGGTTGGGGGAATGTATATTCTTCCATTCACCAATGGTTCAGATTCTCTACTTCAAATTCTCAGTCTGCTTTGCATTTCTTCAATTATGCTGCTGCCGTTTTATAGTTATTCCACTGAACTGCCTCATTCCCTCATTTTCCAGCTCAAGGCTGAGTGGGTAGCTTATTTTGCTGAAACTGCTTAAAGTTGAATAGATTCTGCCACCATTCCCACCTTAGGGGAATCTTCATTTTTTTTGTTTCTATTCCTCAGGTTCCAGCCTCCCATTTTTTGGGGGGAAAGGAATAAATATGTTAGAGATAAAATGTTCAGAGTTCTGCCCTGGCTGGTGTGGTTCAACGGATTGAATATTGGCCTGCAAACGGAAGGGTCACTGGTTCGATTCCCAGTCAGGGCAAATGTCTGGGTTGCAGGCCAGGTCCCAATAAGGGGCACATGAGAAGCAACCACACATTGATGTTTCCCTGTCTTTCTCGCTCACTTCCCCCTCTCTAAATATAAATAAATAAAATCTTTTTAAAAATGTTCAGAGTTCTGAAATGAGGGCAGGAGAATATTTGCAAATCACATATCTGATTAGGGATTAGCATCCAGAATATATAAAGAATTCCCATAACTCAACAACAACAATAAAACTATTAAAAAGTGACATGAGTAGACATTTTTCCACGGGAGAGATACAAATAACCAACAAGCGTATGAAAAGATGCTCAACATCATTAATCATTAAGAAAATGCAAATCCAAATCACACAGGAATCATCTCACACCCATCAGAGTGGCTGCTATCAAAAAAACAGAAAACAACAAGTATTGTGAAGATGTGGAGAAATGAGAACCTTTGTGCACTCTTGGTGGGAATGTAAAATGGTGGCCACTATGGAAAATAATGTTTCTTCAAAAAATTAAAAATAGAATGACCATGTGATCCAGTTTACTATCCAATTGTATCCATGGCCAGAATTCCAATTCTGACTATATAGCTAAAATCTTGAAAGCAGGGTCAAAGAGATATTTGCACACCAATGTATCATAGCAGCATTATTAATTATTCATAATAACTAAAAGGTAGAAGCAACCCAAGTGTCCATTGACAGATAAATGGATAAATAAAATGTGGTATTTTATATACCACATTATATATAACATATAATGGAATATTCAGCTTGATAAAGGAAGGAAATTCTGACACGTGCTATAACATGGATATACCTAGAAGATATTATTGCTAATTGAAGTAAGCCAGTCACAAAAATACAAATACTGTGTGATTCCACTTCTATGAGGTTTCCAGAGTAGTCAAATTCACAGAAACAGGAAGTTGAATGGTGGTTGCCAGGGAGCGGATGTGTGAATGGGAGCTATCGTTTAATGAGTACTGAATTTCATTTTTGCGAGGTGAAAAAGTTCTGGAGATTGGTTGTACAAAAATGTAACTATACTTAACAATACTGAGCTGTATGCTCAAAATTGCTAAGATAGTAAATTGTATGCTATGTGTATTTTACCACAATTTTAAAAATTAATTTTAATAATAAAATTCTATTTCTCAACAACCCCATCCAATAAGAATTGCTATTATCCCCACTTTAAATCTTGGTAGACCTTACCATATTAGGCCATTATTAAATATTTAATTAATTTGCAAGTTAAACCTTCCTTTTCTTCCCTGTGTATCCATGGCCAGAATGGGAGGCAATGTACCAAATTTGGAAAGACTAGGGAAAAGTCTAACTATGCTCATGATAATCAAGGCCCCAGAGCAGGAATAGGAAATCTCTAGGACTGAGCCACTAAGTGAAGCCTGAAACAATAGTGGGGCTCAAGCTAAGCTTTGGGTGCCAGAGGTATCTATGCTTAGCCATCATGAAGGCTAAAGACACTCCTAACTCCCGGGCTAGGAGATTTACAATACCATGAGACATATTTGATCTTGAATATTAATGTTTCTCATTAAAACAATCATAATCCTTTCTATAACTGCTCTTTTTAAATCACTTCAATAATACCATAGACTATTAAAAGTCTGATTTTTTTCTTTGTCCCCCTTCCTAGGCTTAAACAATTAATGAAATCATTCTCAATCGTCATTCAGTCACAGCAGTTAGGTAAAATTTTTTACTTAAACAACTTTCAATTCATTAATGTTTAACAGGAAAGTATATTAATACAGTATTAAAAACATTTTCACCTTCCTTGAAATTCCAACAGTGTTAAATGTTCCGATTCTGGAATTCATACCTACACATACCTCAAGGGTACTGAATGGGCCACATTAAAAACACAGGTGCTTGAAAGCCAGAGGAGCATGTGGGCCATTCTTACCCTGGGCCTGAGCCTGAGAAGTGAATGAGGTCACAGTTGTATGATGGAACAAACCCTTTATGGGATTCTTGATCTGACTGAAGCCCAGAAGTGGTAAGTAGCATGGCCTACAAGTAAGCAAATACCCAAATTTTGTGGGAATCTACACTGAGTCCTTTTTCAAAACTCTATCATCTCTATGAGAGATTGAAGGTAGTGTTTTAAAGTAACGATCATTCTGAGCCACGAGGATGACTTCACAGCACCTGTCAAGTGCCTAAATGGTTGAGCCTCTCCGGAGTGCCCAGCTCTGTGGTAGGTTTCCAGATTTTCAGCACACGTCATTGAGTTGTGTAGAAACAACTTCTTTCTAGGCACTGAGATGAAGACCTGGGAAAATTGATTGATCTCTAACCAAACATTCAGAGAGTACTTCTTCACCGTTTAATAGTATATGACTGTCTAATATTCCTGAGTTAGGAACCCAGTTTTCTTCTCAGTGAACCACCTAATACACTCTACATTTTGAAAAGATCATTGGCGAGGTAAAACCAACAATAAAAGTGGGAAGCCCTACCAACCCAGCTTCTGGGCCATAGGCCCTAATTCTCTAACTATGCAGAAGTGGAAAAGAAGGACTGGGGAGGAAATAGTGGTAGAATCCATTCAGGAGAGTCTAGGGTAGCAAAACAGCATTGTATCCCGCTTTCATTCCTACTTTTAAGACCTGTGTGTTCATAATAAATGACAGGGCACCGGTGGGTCTCCTAGAAGGAAACTGTGGGAAAATGTCCTTATTACTAGGCAGGTATCCAAGATACAAACAATTAGGTAAATATTTTGGAAGTGCTATAACATTTTATCCTCTGTGAATTATGGCATGAAACGTTCTGCTGATTTCAAAAATAAATGTCCTTAACTCTTTCCACATATTCCCAGGATACTTTATCTGTGTCATGTGGTGCCATTTATATTTATATAGAATCAGCATGACATTATTCAAAGGGAGAACAATGGCAAGAAATTTTGTTTAGAGACCTTGAAATAGAATAAGGGGTTCTTCTACATGCTTTCCAATTATGCACAAATCTCTAACTTGAATGTATATATATTACCATTCCTTGAGGTCCTGGACTTCAAACTCCAGGTCTCAAGCTGGGAAGATTGCAAAAGAATATAAAGAAATTAATCTGTGATCTTTAATTGTACCTTCTGAATTCCAGACAGAGTTACTGGCCACATGGAAGTTTCTGGTATCAAGTCAAAATTTAAGCTGAATCCTCTAACAAAAGTACCCGGCTCCCATGGCAAGAGGTAAGTAATGAACATATTAAGGTGATAAATATATTAAGATAAAGAATTATTAAGATGATAAATATATTAAATACCCATAAAGGCTAGGAAGAAATGTTAGAATGCTTTTCAAATATTTATTCTGTGATAAATTTATTTATAAAGTAAACATCTAAATCAAAGACAATGATTTTTATGAAAATAAATATATATATACCCTTTTTGATTACAGAGACAAAGAGTTATCCTTCCTGTTCTACCAAATGAGAGGCTATTGTTGTGTGAAGGGACAGGGCACCATTGAGGGTTTAAGAAGCTGTCAATTAGACAGTAAGATATTTTGAGTGCCAATTTAAAGGAGAATAAATTTGAGGATCAAAAAGAAGGACTAAACCCCTAAGCAAGTCAGAGTAGAGAAAGGACCTGGAGCTCAAATACAGCCAGTAAAGTGAAATCTGGCGTAAGGTGGCAGCAGGGCAGGTGGCGGGCTTGTGGGAAGAGCAGCACTATGGGCTGTCGTGTGAACGTTTAGGCAGGACGACATAAAAAAATGAAATCCAGTAAATTAGCGATGACTAAGGTTGTACTAAAATTAGGAAGGGAGGTGTGCCCGGTGACACTAGCAATAGTTTCTTCTTAGTCTGATAACAACAAATTCCAATATACAGTAGCCGCCGATAACTGATCTATACTTTATCAGATCATAAGAAGAAAAAAACCTCTCTCCTCTCTCACAATTATCCGTTTTCTTTGTCACTGTAAGAGTAGTTCTCCCAGGATCCTTGACTATGCCATTGCTGCAGGAATATATTACTTTTTTAGAGGGATGTGGGTAAGACAACCTTAGAGTATACAAGTCCCTTGATCTCATTTCCCTCAATTGAAGTAGTGACTTCCTTGTCACTGAAAGTTGGCAAGCAAAAACTAGGTAACGCCACATGTAGATTGATTTCCTACATGAGATGAGAGGCTAGACTGGGCTTGATACAAATCTAAGGTTCTTCAACCCTTTAAAACATTATAAAATAATAACACTATTTCCCATGTTTGATCCAAGATAAGGCTTGAACTCCTGCCAAGGCTATCCTTTTTTTAATGCAGCTAAAACAAAATAAAACAAACAAAAACTGTACATTGCCTGGCCTTCTATTTTCCTCTTGTTTCTTGAGAACTTCCTATTTTTCCATCAGCTACATCTTTCATTTAATGCAAAAAAGTTTATTTATATTTAGAAATACAACAAATATGAACTAATCTATCCAAATAAAAGCAAATTTAAGTTTTCAGACGTTTAAGTAGGTAATAAAAAGAAAACACTAGAAGAAGAAATCAGTATTAGTAAAGGCTGAGAAAATAAGACTAATTAGATAAAATTCCATGTCGAATAAGTTGAGAATGATGCATTATGAGAAATTATTGCCTCCTCCCCTAAGTCTCTCTTTGAAAATAAGTAGAATCTACTATATACTGTAGAGGATACCAAATTTATAAACCATCAAGTTTTAAATGTAACTACCATGTTTAGAATTTTTACTAGTTTTGTTTTTAAACTGCATCTTGTAAAAACAAAAACTAAGAAATTCCATATTTTTAAAACTTTTAGTTCTATTCATATCAAAACTAAGTGTATTTTAAATAAAGTTAACTTATAAAATTATGATTATTATAAGTTTACTTTGAAATTACCATATTTAAGCAAACCCATTTTTTCATAATACACCTTCATGTCCCTAAACTAATAAATACTGCAAATTTATACAGAATATCTACGGGTAGAACGAGAGACTGAACTATCTCTATGCCTCTCATCTTTGCCGCTAAGAATATACTTTGGCAAAGTCATAACATAATCATGAATACAAAATTTTGCTATAAGGATATTCACCATAAGATTATTTACATTAGTTAAAAATTTGAAACAACTGCTATCTCTAAAAATAGAAACTGTATAAGGCTAACGTTCTTGAGCTTTGGAGCCAGGGAAACCTGGATGTCACTCACAGGACTTCTACTTATTATCTGTGTGACTTCAGACAAGTTGTTTAATCCCTCTGAGGCTCAGTTTTCTCTTTTGGAAAGTGGGAGGAATCAGATTTTTTTAAGGGGGCTAGAGTGATGGGCAAGTATAGGGTAGACAGAGGCGGACCTCCCATGGCCAGCACTTTCTCACTGTCCATCCTGAAGCTACTGGCAAGTGACAGCAACAGGTCGCTTAGGTGGTATGACAGTAGATATATTGTGATACTTAGTTATTCCAATTGGCAAAAACTGATGAGTGCAACTAACATTTGCTGGTTTCAGATGTGCATTAAATCTTCTCATGTCTTTTCTCAGGGATAAAGATTTACCAGGATCTCTCCCATGCCAATCAGGGCACAAAGAAAGGAAGCTGAGTGCTTCACAGATGCGAGGTACTGAGAATCATCCCCCAAATGGAAACATAACAAAAGCCTCTTAATATGTCTGGCCATTTTTTTCCTCTAAGAGAGATTAGAGATTTCACGGGTTGTCTCCAGCACTCTGTTATTTAAGAGCAAAAAAAAATTTTTTTTAATTCAATGTCTAATTTGTGGGAAGGAAAGGAGATTACTTTGAAATAAACATCTTCCTAGAACTGAGACAGTACTGGCCAAATATTTTTATTCAAAGAAGAACTTGTGGATGTGGAAAAGAACAAAAGCAAGGTCAAACACAAATCAAGTAATGAAGCAGTATAACCACAACTAAAATCCTGGGATTTCTCATAGAAAAAAAAACTATAATGATAAAATGAGCTACATTGGCTACAGTTCATTAATCCAAACAATAAAATTCTATTCAAAGCCAACATTGTACTAGGCAAGAGGAAGGCACCAAATCAGATGTGGACCCTGTCCCAATAGGAAGTCTTACAGGGAAGTCAGTTAAGCCAGGAAATTGTTGATTATAACATTTAAATTATAATATGACCCAAGTTATGATAGGGGAAGTATGGAATGTTACAGGAGCATAAAAGAAAGTCTCCTAACTTAGCCTTGTGAGGCTAGGAAGGGAGTCTCAGCGAAGGCTGACTAAGGAGGGGGGAAATCAGTCAGTCAGAGCCCAGAGGGGAGGATCCTGGGCAGAAAGGGAGGACTCTGAAAAGGGCCAAAGAAAAGAGAAAGCATGACACATGAAAACAACTAAAAACAAGCATGGCTGTGTTTGGGTTCTAGTAAGGCGAATGCTGCGCCGCTACCCTGTCTCGCCCTCCCCAATGCCCTGGCCAGAGACAGAAAAGGATCAAAGAATCACCTTTATTGCTGGGAAAGCTAGTTTAAAGAACACAAAAGATTGTCAAGATCAAAACTGCATTTTTTTATTATAAACTGAGATACATGCCTTAATAATAATAATAATAATAATAATAGTTTATGGCTTTATAAATTGTAAGGTTTCTAAAGTACATTAATGTGCACTGGTGCTTGTTTTAAGGGTACCCAGGATTTGTTTGGATCAAGTATTTTAAGACATATAGACACAGAAATGACTGTCAGGGAGGAAGAAGATTTTATACTCACTGACCCTTATACATAAGAGGCCCCACAAACTGTGAAGGACCACACAGGGAAGCCCCAGAGTTGGGCAGGAGGCAAACGGTCGGGGGAAGTGCGCAGGAGCCTTCACGGTGGTGTCGGCAGGAAGAAGCAAGCAAGGCAGGATGAGCAGGCTTAGAATTGGCTTGTTCAAATAATTTCAGCAGCTCTGGGGTATAGGGAGGCTCTGGCCAGCCTGGCATCTTTTCTGGAGGCTCTGGAGGCTCTGGAGTCTCTGGAGGCTCTGGAGGCTCTGGAGGAGAATCTGCTTTTGAGCGCATTCAGGTTTTTGGCAGAACTCAGTCCCTATGGTTGTAGGGCTGAGAGCCCCCTTTCCTCGCTGGCTGTGAGCCAGGAGCCTTTCTCCGCCCCTTAAGCCTGCCTTCCACATCACACCACCCTCTCCTCTTCAAACCTGCATCGGTGGGTCACATCTTTCTCCTGCTTTGAATATCTCACCTCTCCTGCCACATCTCTCTTGTTCTAGATGCATAAGGGACCCCAGGATTAGTTTGGGCCCACTCAGATAATGCAGGGTAATCTATTTTAATTACATTTGAAAAATCCTTTTTGTCATGTGAAGTGATATGTTCACAGGTTCCAATAATTAGGGTGTGGGATACCTTTCAAAGGTCATTTCACCTACATATTTGGTTTTCCACCAATAAGTTATTCCAGTTCAAATCTTATAGAAGGACACTGTCCTTTTCCCACTCAAAATCATAAAATAGGCTTTATTTTTTTTTTAATTAATTTATTTACTTTTTAAATACATTTGTCTCTGCCTTCCCCCCCCCCTTCACTGTCCTTCTTAAGAAATGTCTATTAAGTACTCATGTTTCTCTCAATGTATTTTCAGAACAGCATCTCCAATCAACTGTATTGTCTGTCCTAGTTCCTTTAGAATAAATATTTATGATTGAATAACTGTCCTGACTAACTTAACTCCATTTCTCCAGCTTTCCAAGATGCCTACAACTTCTTCAACAAGGATAAAACTGGTTCTATTGATTTACATGGATTGATGTGTACTTTAGCTAAGTTGGGAATGAATCTAAACAAGCATGATGTTTCTAATGAATTACAATGTGCTGATATTGATCGTGAGTACTTTGACTTATCATTATTTTCCTCATAAAAGCTTTTTGTAAATATACAGTTTTCTCTCATATACAGTATGAATATGAGAAATAAACCTCACTTATTTCCCAAAAGTACATATATATGTGTTCCTCTTTAAGGATATCAGTGAGGTATATGTACAAGTTATACAATCAATTTAATGCTTCTTTGAAAAAGCCTGTGTGGAAACTAAAAGTGGCTGTCATATTTCAATATCGAATTCAGGTGACCTGTCATGATGTACATTTTGGAGGATGCCTTTAAATAACAGATATTTACAAAGGCACTGATGATTTCAAATTGCCACGTTGCCAAGGAAATCCAAGCCCTTTGTTTCCGTATGAATCATATTAGTTCAAATCTTCCTTCCATCATTACAACCCACCTACACTGAATTTCAAATGCCACGGCATGTTTGCTGGTATTTTTACAGCACATAGAAAATGTTTTCTTTGAATATACCAACCTAGTGATTGGTAGCCCAAACCGACACATTGTATGGAAATATATTCAGCATATTATCTCCTCGCACCTCTCGCCACCCAGCTTGCCAGTGCCCCATTCAATCAGCATCCGTTCCACATGTGAGTTAAAGGCACCAGTGAGTTAAATCTTCACTTGCCACTAATTGCCCAATTTTTCTATTATTTTTTGGAAATACATACACATGACTCTAATATTGCTTAATTTTAGCGGAAACGAGGTACAACTTGGGGATGTTATAATAACAGAAGTGCTTTGCAGAAATGACTAGTCTCTAGGAGAATGGAGAGGACGGCCGCGGCTGGGAACCCCTGGGTCCACGCGTGCAGCCCGCCGGTGCCCCAGCGGGCGCGGAGGGCTGGTGTGATAGTGCGAAGGCCGCTTCACGAAGACCAGTGTTTCCCCAAGCATCTCTCCAGCTCGAAAATGCTCTGGGGTTAAGTCCTGAATGATCCATAGTGTGTTCATTTTTATATTTAATATATAATCTGATAATGAAAATACATCTTATGTTCTTGTCCTAAGCCTTAGATTTCTGTTGCAGGAGATGGGAAAGTGAATTTCTCAGACTTTATAAAGGTGCTAACAGATAAGAACCGCTTCCTAAAGGCTGTGGGTAAGTAGAGACATTACTGAATAGATAGCGGATGGGTAGTTGCAATTCACTGCAAAGTAAATATTATTCATTTCAACCTCCAATCAGGAGACAAATCAAGAATGGGTGCTCTGGAATGTGATTTACTTTTGTACTGCTTCTCCAAAACAGCATTTGCTAAGCAAATTGATACAGGTTTGGAATTTTAACTTAAATGCATCAAGCCCTTCTGCAGGAGATACTACTTTTTGATCTGTAATGAGAGCACTCTGCAGTGGTGTAGAAAAATTTGGTTACCCTTTATAGCATTTCAATTCTTTACCAAGTGCATGAGCCACTGCAAGAGGCACTGCTTTTACAAAAGAAAAAAAAAATTAGAAAAAGCAAAATGCTCTCTCTCACACGATTTGGGTGTAGACAAACTACTGTTCCTGAAGAATATCCTCCTCCGCCGGACGGAGCCTCCGCCCTCAGTGCAGAGGGCCGGGGAGTCTGCCTGCTGCAGGTTAAAGAGCAGGTTCTCTCCTAAGGTGCTAAATGATGTGCAGGTAAACTTGAAATATTTTTATTAGTCCTCTAATGGTTTGTTTATGAGTTTAACAGGCGCCTTGGAAAATCTAATCCTATTCATATCATGTTTTCTAGGATAAATGTATTCCAAATTCCAGATGCTGTGTATTATTTTGAAAATATACCCATTTGTAGGCTATGAACTGTCCTTAGGACAAACAGAATTACTCCTTCAAGTATCACTATAGTAACAAGGGTTTGCCTGCAAACCTGAGATATATTTGCCAACAACTCTTTTACTTAGAACAGGACAGCAGTCCTTAACATATAATTCATGTTTATGTTAAATGTATCACTATATTTACTTAGAAGCTGTTGAACTAAAAGTAGTGTTTCCATCTCATGATTATTTTGTCTGTTCAGTAATAAAAATGACCTTTCTACCTTCTGCAATAGAACAAATGTTAAATGTTTTTCTATAATTCTCAAGTCCTTGGTTTGGTATTAATTTTGTAAATACAATAAAAAGGCTGTCATTTTAGTGCTTTTTTGATAGATGATTTTTTCAGAAGCTATTTTGAATCTTTTCTTTCCTTTATAGTTCCAGAAAAAGATAAATGTTTAGATTTAGCTGGCAACCCAGGGATTCTGTTATTTGAAATCCTATCAAAGCTTATAGAGACTTCAGCCTTACCCAAAAAGGCTATAAAGGAAATAGTAAGGTAAGTGAAAAAGAAAGGAGCAAAAATGATCTTCTCAGAAGCACATATGAGGATACTAACAAGGCCGTCACCTCCCACTAACATTCTATGTCACAGGGTCTGTTCCAAAACAAAGGAGAAGGTGCGGGGCAGATGGTCACATGCCAGAGCATGAGGCTTGATTCCTCCATCACACAGTGCTGCCCAGCTCTGAAACTGCAAGGCTAACTTCAGACCACCTCAGCTCCCCGCTGGGGGCCTAAGACAGCTAAGAAAGTCCAGCCATTTCTACCCTGGAAGCACCGTGCAGTTTGCACGCCCTTTCAATTTTGTTGTCTATCATCCAATGTTAGAATTGTCCCAGTTCAAAGGGGCAGCTGTGAGGGACAGGGTGGTGAGGGCCTCTGAGAGAATGTGCCGTATCCCCCAAACCTGTGTGCAGCCAACCCTGAGACCCCTGGAAGCTGGGACCAAACTTGTACAGGGTGACTTGGAACCAGCCATGCAAACTTTCTGGGCCCCAATATCCTCACCTAATTACCTCTTGTCTGATCTCAAAAACAACAACAACAAAAAAAAACAACAACTAGGTTTCTACTCATTCATACCTCCCAAAATACCTCTCAGCACATCAGTCAGAGTGATATTCTTAAAACATAATTCAGATTGTAAGTGTCCTATGGCTTTCTATCAGGCTCAAGTTAAAATCTCACCTGGTGCTGTGGCTTGTATGAGCAGAACGCCTACCCACTTTCCTTCCTCTCCCAAGGAAGAGTCTGTTATCAGAGCTTCTTCATTGTGGAAAATGTGACACTGATGTAACAGTGTCCCCAAAATACACATCAGCCGTGGTAGTCAGCCACTTTGCACTAGTATGATGTATGGATAATTGATAAGCAAATGCAGACACTGGCCAGGTAGTTTGGTTGGTTAGAGCATCATCCCAATATGCCAAGGTTGTGGGTTCGATCCCCAGTCAAAGCACGTACAAGAATCAACCAATGAATGGATAAATAAGTGGAATAACAAATTGATATTTCTCTCTCTCTCTCTCTCTCTCTTTCTCTCAAATCAGCCAATAAATAAAAAAAGATCTGTCATTGATATATAAGCTGTGCATGTTTGTAAATCAGATCTTTACACATTTGGGGATGTTTGTACTGTGAATTAGAGTTCTTTATCATGTAGCCTGCTCTGCTTATACATAAAGAATTTATAACCTAAAACACATTGTAACATATCTCCTAGATGTATTCATACACATGAGCACATACACAAATTGCAAAGAATTGCAATCAATAGTGATTTACTGTGGATAGTAAGATTACTGGTAATGTTTTATTCTTTATAGTTTTCTCTATTTTCCAAACACTCTGCAATGATAATTTTTTTAATTTAAAAAATGTTGCATTTTACTTGAGATCTTGCTCCCCAACCAACGTATGTCATCAGTTGGCTCAAATATTTTTATAAAAATTCTCCAAAACAACTGCATTTAAAAATCCAACACAAAGTAGACATGATTAATATTTGTATTTAAGCCAGTACCAATTAAGGGTTTGCCAAGGATCATACTTGATAGATATTTTTCTAGACAAGACTGGGATGCCTTGGGGAAGGGAGAGGAAGCCAAAGCCCAGGGACTACATTTATAAAATAGTAAAATGGATAACAACTAATTTGAGTAAAATATAACTTAAAAAACTGTTAGCTTTTCTCAAGTTAGTTCTATTGTAGGATGTACTTAAGCCGTAAGTATATTTAAGTTAAAGCGGTTGAATTATGTTGCTCTTATATCACATTACATTGAACACTGTTTGGACGCATGTTGAAAGACATGTTTATTTTTTGGAAAACTCAGTATAGGAGCTGTGGCTACAATCAGAAGTGAAACATTTGGCATGTTTGTTAATTCTAGTTTCATTTAATAACTTCTAAGGTGCGTAAATTTAAGCTTTTTTTTTAAGTTAATGGAAAAAAATTGAAATGCAAATACCAATACATTAAGATTTTGTTCTTGGTGTTTGTATGAAATTCTGAGGTCTTGATTAAACCTTTCATTGTATTGTGATTTGTTTTTAGGTGTATGGTGCCAAGCAAAATTTGTCTAATAAATCTTCTTTTAAAAAAATATATAGCCAAATGGCCTGTGACAGTTATCAGTGGATAGTCTGTAATTGTCACAGAAACAGACACTCAATAAATAATAGTGAATGAATACACAAATTAAATTTAAAATAAATTTATTCAGCATATATAACTTGTAACTTAACCTTTTCCCCTATTTGTCTAACACTCAGGCACCTTTTCAGTAGAACTATAGCACTTTGTATTCATTTTTGGATTATGTTTTTAGGTATTTCCGAAGAAAATTCCAAGAAACCACCTCAGGAATACTATGGAGTCCCTACACTGCGGGTTATGGAAAAAGGAGATTTAAACCAGACATATGCATACCTCTGGGCTCAAGCACAGCCGCCTTTGCTAATGCTGCCCGGATTGCAATAATGAAAGAAAAGGATTTATTTAAATATCTTGAGGAGCTCAAGAGTAAGAGCCATTTCCCCACTGTTGTAAAGATTTATTTGTATATTACTGGTCAAAACTAAATACCAGAGGACAAGTGCTATAAGAGCAGGACCACAGCCTGTTGTGAGTGACTGGTCTCCAATACTCAGCTATCATTTGATAGCAAATGTATATATTACTTGAATCCTCAGACACCTAAGTGAAGCTGAGAGTCTATGGAGGGGCGGGGGGTGGAGGCACAGGAGAGTGAAGACGATGGGTCATGGCCCTGAGAAGAATGGACAGAAAGCAAAATACATGTATGTCTTTCATGTGAATTTCTTATTTGTGGTAACATTTTTTTTTTATCTTTTTAGGATGCAGTCCTCCTTCAGATAATCCATATTCAAAAATACCCATCTTTCCATTGTTTCCTAATGTGGATGGGCTGGTAATGGGAAAGCCATTCAAAGACATACAGAAATTAGAAATGCTCAGGAGAAAGGAGCCTCTGAAATTCTTTGAGAACTATTTTTTCCATAAAAGAGATTGGAAAATGCAGGTGGGATTTCAATTGTGTCACATCAGTTCATTTAAATACTTGTGTTTTTAAATTCTAACTTAATAGAACTAGTAATATGCTTTTTAAAAAAATTATTGATTGATTTTTTTAGAGTGAGAGAAGGAAGAAGTGGGGGAGAGAGAGAAAAGGAAGGAGGGAGGGAGAGAGGGGGAGAGAGAGAGAAAGAAGGAAGGAAGGAAGGAAGGAAGGAAGGAAGGAAGGAAGGAAGGAAGGAAGGAAAGAAGGAAGGAAGGGAGGAAGGAAGGAAGGAAGAGGAAAGAAAGGAAGGAAGGAAGGATGGAAGGAAGGAAGGAAGGAAGGAAGGAAGGAAGGAAGGAAGGAAGGAAAGAAGGAAGGAAAAAAAGAAAGGAAGAAAAAGATAGATTTGTTTTTCCACTTACTTATGCATTCATTGGTTGATTCTTGTATATGCCCTTACTAGAGGCTGAACAGACAACCTTGGCATGTCGGGGTGACACTCTAACCAACTGAGCTACCTGACCAGGACGTAACATGCTTTTCAATGACAAATATTTTCAGTCATTATATTTCAAACCACATTCCACAGACATATTCCTAACTTAAAGCTCAGATATAAATCATTTACTTTCAACAGAGTTAAACTTACTGAAAAATACAATCCTAGGCTTGTGGTGGGGGGTGGGGAATATAAGAATAATAATAAAGTGGATTTCAGGTCCTACCTCCAACTGCTCTCCCATCATCTCAGGGACCAGAAGCTGTATTTTGGTCTCCTTCAACTGGCTCTAAACAGTTGAGCCACACACCATGGGATGAGAGGGCCAGGTCTACAATGCAATGAAGCAACGTAGTGATGGAGGGGCCAGCTTGCCCTTGGGCTAGAACCTGTTTATAATCCCAGCTGAACCTTCTGACCCTGCTTCAAGCTCTGCTGCCTCTAATCTATTTGCCCTAACCCTAACCCCACCACCCGCCAAAGATACACTTTATCACCGCAAGTTTTAAGGTCCCAGGCAAGTATGCCCTAGTTTCTGGATGTTCTTTCAGGAAGCTCTGGCCTCATCCAGGTTTATCAGATGTCCTGCCACCTGAGAAACAATTTTAAAATTTGACTGGAGACCAGCCTACCCTGTGGAGTATCTCTGGGTTCCAGAGGTCCACGTGTTGTTCACATCACTGTGAAATACCTAAAAGTTCCCTCCAGGCATACGTTTAAGAGTCCCAGAAGCTGGAGGAGGGAGAAAAAAATGGGGCGCTGCTAATCAACATGCATGAAGTCAAAATTATGCAAACTGAATAAGCCATAGAGAGCTTCTCTACAACTTTGCACATATAATTAATACTGTATTGTACACTATACAGGAGAGTGAAGACGATGACGAAAAATTGTGTTGAGGGTCAATCTCATGTTAAGAGTTCTTACCAGAGTAAAACTTTCTTTAAAAATTTAAAGAGTCCCACGATGACTGAAGAGCTCCATCTAAACACTGATCTAGAGAAGGACACATCAACCACAGATCTTGGATTTGAAGTTCAAGATGAGACCTGGGGTAACTCCTTTTGAAAAAGAGATACATGTGGTTCATGGAGGCATGAACTTTGAAAGGTGTATGTGTAGGAAGAAAAGAGGGAACCAAAGAAGTGGATTTGCCAGTGGATTCTCTCCTCAATATCCATTCCTCTCCCGCATCCTTAAGACCAGAAATTTCCCAGTTTTGTTGCTTCAGAGGCTTTAACTCTACCCCCAGCTGCAGAAGTAAGTCTTGATTGAACTAAGCCAATCAAGGAATTAGATTTCCCTAGTCACAGTGATTTCAGTGAGGGGCCCATGACAGACTGGTCTAACCAGAGGTAAGTTTATAACTATTGTTTGATATTTGGGGCATGAGAAACTGTCTTTCCCCCTGGATGTGAATGAGGAAACTATATCCCTGGAGCAGCAGGCAGCCATGTGACAGAAGAGAAGAAAATCTAAGAATGAAGCCAAAACATGTAGGGTCAGGAAGAAATAGACCTGAAACCCTGATGACATTCTGAACATCTGGATCAAACCCATGCCTGAAGTCCCATTTCTAGAATTTTCACATAAATGAGACAGTACATTTCTTACATTGTTTAAATCAAATATAAATAAAATAAACAGTCCATGATGATCAAAAATGATCTAAAGTTTAAGACTTTGTCTTTATCTCTCCAAGTGAAGTCACACCCACAGGCAAGTACCACTGACAAGACAGAAATAGAGGACATTCATTCCCTGTAAACGTATTTCCCAATGATGAACCCTCCACCTGTGATGCCTGACTATTTATTGCCAACTTCTCCAAATAGAATATAAGAATTCTGATTTTTAAAATAATTTTCAGATAGAAGTTTTTATGGGAGACACACCTAAAATATGACTCAGAAAGCTTAAAAGTAAAGGGACAGCAAAAATACATGGAGCAAATACAAATCAAAATAAGCTGGCAGCGATAGATTAATATGGAAGAAGTAAAATTTAAGGAAAAATAGCTAAAGATAAATATGCTATATAAAGATTTTTAAGCCCTCATTGGTGTGGCTCAGTGGATTAGGCATCATCCTTTAGCGCAGAAGGTCACTGGTTCAGTTCCCAGTCATGGGACACGCCTGGGTTGCATGGTTGGGGCGTGCAAGAGGCAACTGATGTTTCTCTCACTTATTGATGTTTCCTTCCCTCTAAAAACAAATAATAAAATCTTTTTAAAAAAAGATTTTTTAAAAGCATCAGGAAGATACTACTATCCTGAGCCTGTGTGTACCTAGCCAATTGACAGATAAGATAACTAACAAAATTGGAAGAATTAACTCTAGACTTTTTAAGGCATTATGCATGCCTTAAAATTTCTCACTTTTATCCAATGTAAGGATAATTGCTAAATGAATAGGTAAATCCATCATTACAAAGGGAAATTTTTATCATGCATCTCCAGAAACTAATAAAGCAGACCCCCACCTTGCCCCCAATGAAGGAAATCAACTCCTCTTACAAAAAATGTAACTGTTAAGAAAGATGGGGAAATACAGCTTGCTGTAGAATCATAGTCTAGAAAAAGTTGTTTCAGGACATGAGAGACTTGAGCGCATTTGTAGCCAGGAGGGAAGGACCCTTAGAGCCATGGTTCTCAATCCTGGATGCACCATGGGAGCACTTTAAAAAACAACCTCATACCCAGGCCACAGCCCTACCCAATTAAACCAGATCTCTGGGAATGGGGCCCTGGCCTCAGTATCTTTTAAAGTTCTAACATGCAGCCAAAGCTGAAAATCACTGCCCAATGAAAAGAGAAACTGAGGATCAGAGGGGCAGATCTGTCTACATAATTTGCAAGGCCTAGAGCAAAATGCAAATGTAGGCGCCTTGTCCAAAAACAATTAAGAATATAAAGATAGCAACAGCAGAACATTAAACCAAATTCATGGCCCTTCTGAGCCTGAGGTCCTATGTAATTAATTTCATAGGTCACACATCCGTGAAGTTTCGCCTGGAAAGAAGACAACCGAAGGGATATGGTCCTGGAGGCAAATAAATAGAAGATACAGGGGGAGATTTGGCCTTGGAAATTAAGAGAAATGCATATAAGAGGGAAGGAGGAAAAAACAGGTTAAGGATGGAGAGATCCTAAAGTAGAAAGAAGGAAAAAATAATTTAGATTATATGGCCTTGAAGAGACAAGCTGAGGGAGTCAAAAGTCTGGTTTTCCAATGATCATTATGAAGATTATAAGAGAATTAAGAGTGAATGAAGAAAGGTAATGTTGAACAGTACTATGGGCCTAGACGAAATGAGGCAATAAACATTTTCAAAGAAAGCAATTGGCATATCCTCATGATTTCCACCGCACTGCTCAGCAGCCTAGGAGCAGGGCAGACATGGCTGGTTCCCATGAGAAATCTGGAAGTAATATAGGTTGTATTCTGTGGAGGGCACGTTCATTTTCAGTGCTTTTGATGGCGTGGAAAGTTTGGGTAAGGATGGATTTGGCTCCTCTCTACCCTCCATATCCACTCCAAATCTGCTGGTCTATACTTCTCTTAGGAGTAGCCTTCATCCTTATGAAAGGGAATTTGCTAAAAACCCATCTACACATGGGAAAATACCAGGTGCCCCAAAACACCTGGTAACTGCTTAAGCAATGACTTTATAAATCATATACAGACTCTTTCATAATATAATATACTTGTCTGTTATGTCTTTGTTACATAATTCAAACTAAAATACATCACTAATCTTCTTTTTTAAATGTGCATCAAGGCAGCAAAAATAAAGCCTATTGACCCTGCCTCAGGCTACCCAACTGACATCCTCGCCATTGACCAAATACTCAGGAAAAAACAGAACTGGACAGTGACTGAAGCAGCTACTATTAAACCGCATGTGAGTAGTCACTGCTGAATGCCTTCCCAGAAAGCACTGACAAAAGTATTTTCCACTTCAGTGGAAAACCGTACTACTACAACCGTAAAATCAAGAGGTTTTGTTTCTCCTCTATGTCTTTGAAATGAGACAAGATCATTCCTCATTTCTACCTGTTGTAATGAGGTTTCTTGCTCTATAATCAAATGGATTCAAATGTTAACTTATAAATCATCCTGTTATTCACCTGTGGAGCCATATCCTGCATCATTGCTGGGACATTAATTTGTTTCATGCTGGAAATGGCAACTAGTTAAGATATTAAACTGGCAGTCACGGTGAGTGGTGTATGCAGGAAATCATAATGAGTTTAAGAATCTTTATTACAGCAGCTAAAAGAAAAATAGGCCCTGATGGTGTGGCTCATTTGGTTAGAGTATTGTCCCAGACACCAAAAGATTGTGGGTTTGATTCCCAGTCAGAGCACATACCCAGGCTGAGGGTTTGATCTGTGGTTGGGGCATGTCCAGGAGGCAATCGACTGATGTTTCTCTTTCTCTCTCTCTCCCCCTTCCTCTCTCTAAAAAATCAGTAAACATGTCTTCAGGTGAGAATTTTAAAAAAGAGTAGTAATAATAGTTTAAGTGAGCTTCCTAGGTTCCCAGCAGTGTATTCTACAAGTGCTCTAAATCACATGTACTAATTCGTTTACTTATCACAACAACCCTTTGAGGTAGGCACCATTATCATTCTTTATCATTTTACAGATATGCACAGAGAGGTTAAGTGATTTGCCCAAAGACACAGAGCTGGGCAATAATAGAACCAGAATTACAAACATGGGCAGCTTGTCTCCAGAATCCACCCTTTTAACCACAACTCTATGCTGCCTGTCTACTTTTGTGTCCTGACTTCTTAGCAACTTTTGTACTTCACAGAGACATACTGGGGCATATTTATTTTATGTCACCTCCCTTCTGTACTTGACACTAATGATCAAACTCTCCTAGACACTTTCTACTTCCTTAGCCTTTACAAATTGCATCTTCAATTCCCCTTGCAGTTCTGTGTCCTTTCCTCTTTCTTCTCTTTCCTGAATGTTCATCCCCTAGGTCTTGATACATCCTTGTTTTCTAGTCTTATCCTGCTGCTCTTTGCACTATATACACTCATCTACCCATTTCTTCAGTAAATATTTATCCAGTGTTAACAAAGTTCTGGGATTAGAGGTCACAGAAGGGAAAAAAACCCCACACAGTTTCTACCTTCAGTGAGCTTAGAGTAAGGATGGAAGACATGGAGAAAGAAATGAGCAATAGTAACATGCCGGGATAAATGGACCCACAGGCGGTCTGCGCTGCCTGTCACAGGAGTACAAAGGAGTGGGCTCCCATCCTCTGTCTTATCATGGCACAGCTTACACTGGCTTAAGTGGACGTTACTTATAGTCCGAGGCTTCCAGCCTGGCGCAGCAGCTGCCCCAAGGGCTGAGATGCTTGGGAAGATCAGTACTTTGGCATACCTGTCACCCAGTCACAGCAGAACATTGGGGATCTCTGCATTAAGTAATGGAAAAACTAGGACAAGTATTCTTTGGACTGTCAATCTATCCTCCTTATTTTAACTGCCACCTATATACTGATAACTCATAAATCTGTCACTAGCTTAGACTTCTTTCCAGTACTTCTGTCTTACCTGACATTTAGACATCGCTGTCTCATAGCATGTTAAACTTGACATGTCCAAAACCAAACTTAGCATCTTCATCAAAGTGGCTATCCCTTAGGGAATCTGTATCTCAGTTGTTGATACCACCATCTACCCGACCACTGAAACTAGAAAGCCAGGAGCCAGTCTTAACTTACATATTTTCCTCACTCCTTCTATGCACCATCCCCAAGTCTGGGTACTCTCATTCCCCGGAAGATTTTTCAAATCTGTCCCCTTCACTCCATCCTCTCCCTACTGCCTTAACTGAGGCCCTCAGTAGGGCCAGCCTGGATAACAGCCTCCGCCCCTGTGTCCCTGCCTCGCAGCTGCTCCCCTCTGCCCATTCTCCACACAGCTGCCAATGATCTAACAGGAAGACCCAACTACGTCACTGTCCTGCTTAAGAATGAATGCTTCCCTCTCACCAACGATACACAACGGAGGAATTTATCTCATTTCCGTCAGAAAGAGTGGCTCACTACAGCATGATCCGCACTGAGGAAAGGACCTCCCAGCCTCAGGAAACCAAGTCTAAGGGCCTGATGACCGCAGGCTTTGCCTGCCTTGCCTTCATCACTCCCTCCCACTTTGAACCTGACACTTTACCAATCCCAAAGCGCTTTACCTGCTTCCCTCACCAACTCCAGGATGTTTATTGCCTTTGAGCCTTTGCTTATGCTCTCCCATCTCCTGAAATACCTTCCCATCACCACTCCCTCAGTTTAATTGAATCTTTGAGGACCTACTCCGCTGAGCATTTTCTCCTCCCTGACCTAGGGTGGACTGAGAGCCATCCTTGCAATTCCTATTATATTCAGAACCTACTACCCTCCTGCATTTCCTCCTTGTTTTAGTCTCTTGTGTTTTTAATATTCTTATAAAATGTATTGTCTCATTAATCCAAAATAATTTATTTTCATTTTCTGTCAACTCCTAATTCCTCAAGAGGCACTACCCAATGTATAAACTCAGTGACTTTCAAGTGGCCTGGGAACATAACTCTCGGAATATCTAGAATTGTGCTCCACAAAGCAAAGATATTTTAAGGTAACTACTGTAAACTTCTGCTTTCTCACTGCAGGTGAAGAGAGCTATAGATACTTATAACTTAGGAACTGCTCTTGAGCACCGGAAAGAAATGCTAAACCTCTGGCAGAAGATCCGAGGAGATTTGATTGAAATGGACACTAAAAATGAGTCCTTTTATGACGCCTTTTCTACTTACACATGGTCCTGGAATGTTTGCCAAGAATTACTTTCCCCAAAGGACTTAAGGTTATATGATGCTTACGTGAATAGAAATTCCTTCCACAATTCTTCATTCTCTTCCTCTTCGGATATCAGTGAATGTGACACAGAGGCAGAAAGAAAAAGAAAATGGAAAGGTTTCAAAGGGTTTCGACAATGAAATTTCTACATTTTCTAAGCAGCTCATTGCAAACTACTTTTTCATAGATATCAAAATTATGGTTTCTTGCTTTTGTCTAGTACATTCTTAGCAGCTGGAAATGTTGGTATCTTTTGAATTCTGACCAGTAAAAAAATTTAAGTCATAATATGGTTTCCCTTTTCTAATTCTTACTAATAAATAGATGCCATTCTGTTATTCCCCTAGCGACAGCTGCACTCTGGGGCCCCCACCTGGCTCAACACTGCCTGGGCAGAAAGGGGAAGATGAAAGCAGGCTGTTACCTTGACAGAAGGCTGCCCTTGAGAGCTCATGAGGGCCCTCCCAGCAATAAGCATCTGGTTTATGGGACTATAAATGGCATTAAGTTTTTTAATCATCTGTCAAACTGACGGGAGGCAGGGGATGACAATGACCTTTCAATTTCAGGTTATGATGTCAACATCCCCCAGGGAATCTTGATTAAATTTGGGTGTTCCTAAGGCTCCTTAGCCACATATCTTCAGAACAATCTCTTGGGACACACTTAAAAATAGCTGATATCATCCATTACATTTCTTGTTGTTGTTGTTGTTTAATGTACTTAATAAAGCAGCACATATATAACTACATTACAAGTTGGGTGGTTGTAATTGTTTTATTGTGGAAAAATATATATATAACTTGCTATTTGAATCATGTTTGAGTGTATATCATCCATTCCATTTTTTCTCTTATAGAAAAAGGAAAAGACATGTTCCATATTGATAGTGCCAGTGGCTTATAACTTAAAATTATAACATTCCAGGAAAAAGCAATGACTCCCAAAACTGTTTAATGAAAAAGACTTGATGTAATTTTGTGTTACCTTGAATATTCAAAACCATATAAATATACTTGCCGTTCTTTATAGTATTGTGATGTTTGGAAAAATAACTAACTTTATAGATAAATGATGATGTTTTCTGACCAAAAAAAACCCCCAAACAAAACACGATTTATGGTTTTACAAGAGATTTTTTTGGGGGGTGGGGTATGGCTGCAAGTGTAATTGGAAATCTAAAAGATATAGTTTGGATGCCAAGATATTAGAATTCTTGAAATATTTCCTTGAATCAATGGAATAATAACATAATATTTTTAAGTAGATCTCTTCTGGAAAATCTAAAATGTACACTAATACATTCTCTCTATTAAATTGACATATATCTTTTTCCCATCTTGCAAGATGGCAGGCGAAAAAACTGAGAAGCCGGATACCAAGGAGAAGAAACCTGAAGCCAGGAAGGCTGATGCTGGTGGCAAGGTTAAGAAGGGTAACCTTAAGGCCAAGACGCCTAAGAAGGGGAAACCCCTCTGCAGCCGAAACCCTGTCCTAGTCAGAGGAATTGGCAGGTATTCCCGGTCAGCCATGTATTCCCGAAAGGCCATGTACAAGAGGAAGTATTCCGCAGCTAAATCCAGGATTGAAAAGAAAAAGAAGGAGAAAGTTATGGCTACTGTCACAAAGCCAGTTGGTGGTGACAAGAATGGTGGTACCCGAGTGGTTAAACTTCGCAAAGTGCCTAGATACTATCCTACTGAAGATGTGCCTCGAAAGCTGTTGAGCCACGGCAAGAAACCCTTCAGTCAACATGTGAGAAAACTGCGGGCCAGCATCACTCCTGGAACCATTCTCATCATCCTCACTGGGCGCCACAGAGGCAAGAGGGTGGTTTTCCTGAAGCAGCTGAGCAGTGGCTTGCTACTTGTGACTGGACCTCTGGCCCTTAATCAAGTTCCTCTGTGTAGAACACACCAGAAATTTGTCATCGCCACCTCCACCAAAATTGATATCAGTGGTGTGAAAATCCCCAAGCATCTCACTGATGCTTACTTCAAGAAGAAGAAGCTGCGCAAGCCCAGGCACCAGGAGGGGGAGATCTTCGACACCAAGAAGGAGAAATATGAGATTACAGAGCAACGCAAGGTTGATCAGAAAGCCGTGGACTCACAAATTCTGCCAAAAATCAAAGCTGTCCCTCAGCTCCAAGGCTATCTCTGCTCTGTGTTTGCTCTTACAAACGGGCTTTATCCTCACAAAATGAAGTTCTAAATTTCTTTTGAGAAACCTAATTAAACAACTGATCTGTTAAAAAATAAATAAAAAAAAATAAATTGACATATACTGTTGGTGACAGTATACACTGGCATCTCTCTGATGGAATACAGGATAGCAACGGGTACTCAGCCAGTCACTCACCAATTATTTATTGAGTTATATAGGATCTGGATAAACAACAGTAAACAAACAGATAAAATACCCTGACCTCACAGAGCTTAATAATGGAGCTAATTATAACCACTGACTTTAGTACTTCCACTTCTAGAAATTATTCCTAAAGAAATAATCATGAATATACAAAATGATTTTGTTACAAGGGTGTTTATCATGTGAATTTTTAAGTAAGAAACTTAAAGAAGACTAAATGTCCAATAAATCATGGTACAGCTATGTAAAACAATACCATAATAATTAAAATGATGCTGTAAAAGAATGATATTCACAAACTATTATTAAGTTTACAAGCAGGCTACAACTGCTAGGAGGCATGGGGAAACTTTATGGATTAGTTCTTAAACTTAATTATAGTGGTGGTTGCACAAATATAGATTTTATACAAAAACTCATCGAACCATACACTTAAAATGGATGGGTTTAATTATAGGTAAATTATACTTCAATGAAGCTGTTAAAAATAGGGGCACGAAGCAATTTGCTCTAAAAATACTTTAACTTATAAGTTATTTCTATAAGTAAATTAGAAAAAAAAGACTGGAAGGATATAAACCAAAGTGTTCAATGGGTTAAATTACATATGGGATGTCGTATTTTTTTCTTTTGTCTTACCTGTATCTTCTAAATTTTCTACAATAAACATTTACTTTGCAATAAGAAAAAAGGAGAAAACCTCTTTTAAAATTAAAGTTTTTAAACCAGCTTATTCAATTATCTAGGGCTGCTACAAATGCTGTCCAGGTTCTGTGAAACCTTAAGGAGAGCAATTTGGGATACCAAGGGTGCCTTCCCTGGCTCTTCAGTTCCAGAACGCAGACCTCCAGAGACCAGAATTTCCACTGACTGAAACCGAAAGAAAAACGTGAAACGATTAACTACGCTGTCCCGGATTGACACCCAAGGCAGTAATCCAAACTGGAGTACTAAACCTTTTACATGCTTTGAACCCATGTCACCCGCTGAGCTAGGAGAGTTCTCACTACTCACCAGCAGGGGGCCCCTTAGCTCCTCTGAAACGCAGTGCGGCGTGCGGTCGGCTCACCACACACGACTCAGCCTAGGCTTCCAAACTACTTGGGGGAAAAAAATATTTGAAGTGCCTCAAAAGATGACGAAAAATGAGTTGTACAGACCAAGCAAAGATAATGGCATAAAAGTTAAGTTTAGGATACTTTAACACATTTCATCAACAGAGCCCAAGTTGTTTGACATTTTAAATGATTCTAATTGTTGGAACTAATACAATAATAAGTAAAGTCAAGAGTAAGCTCTCTGCAAGAAGTTATGCAGTGGGACTGCTGATTGGGAGACCTAACGGCTTTTGGCGTGGGGAGAAGAAAAGCTTTTAGATGAGAGAACAAGATGCCAAGAATAAGTATAAATGAACCATCATATCTGCAAACAGCTGGCCTTGAGAAAAGATAGGAATACTTGTATTTACTTGGAAGGGAGGTTTTGTTCAAAATTTTTCAGCTCAAAAGACCACGACAATGGCAAAACTATTTTGTCTTCCAATAAAATACAAGTTCTTTACTATCTTTTCTAATTCACTCATGTATTTTTCTTTGTGATCAGAGAAGATTTGGAGATTGTTCCCATTTCTTTCGTGGGAGAGGTATAAAATCTCTCATTGCTCCCCCTAGTTTTGACCACGGAAAAGAATCTGCAATGGAGTAAATGACCACAGGTTATCATCATGCGCTAAGTCCAGTACCGCACTACTCAAATAATGAACCCTTTTCTTTTCTCCTTCCAAATGGTAATCATCACTCTTCTAGAAGTCTTCTCAACTAACCTTATATTGACGGCATACCTTCTTCTTAGAGGCTCTTCAGAGAATCAGTTTGTAGCAATTATTGAAACAGAAATGTAAGGCTGAAATGTATTAACAAAACTGTATCTGTGTATGAATTACAATCTTGAGTGTGCAAATAAGCTTGGGTATGGATTAATTCAAACAGGTTATTAGGCTGTACATTTTTTTAAAGATGTTATTTTATTTTTAGAGAGGGAATGGGAGCGAGAAAGGGAGAGAAACATTGATGTACGAGATACGCGGATGGGTTCCCTCACGCCCGCCCCCAAATGGGGACCTCGCCCACAACCCAGGCATGCGCCCTGACTGGGAATAAAAGCGGCGACCTTTCTGTTATTTATTTCATATCTTTCCCCGAGAAAAGCCTAAGGAATAGCTTTGCACACTATGAAAAACTGATTCTAGAGGCTGGAAAATTGCCCTATTTCTTCACTCTGCGACCTATCTTCCTCACTTCTTTTGGCCATTATTAGTTCTACAGTGGAATTTGATATCCATAATTCTCAATGTGATTCAAAATTTTTCCTGTCTTACAACTTGAGTGAAACAGGGGAACCTGTTAGAGGATCCCAGCATTGAAAGAAGGTTCAAGCGAAAAACGTCTCTCACTTTCTTGCCGCCACGCACGCCCACCAGAACCCTTGCCCAACTTGAGACAAGCCCCGCACGGCAGAATTCGAGCGCCACCGCGACACCCACGGCCCGGGCAGCCCGGCCCCTCCTCCGTCTTTTCCCGCCCAGATCCCGGGCCTTCCGGAAGGGGGCGTGGTCCCGCAGGAAGTTCTCGCCCTACCGAGAGGCAGGTATTTCCGGCTCCGGTATGATGGCAGGCTCCTGTCCTGAAGGCGCGCCCACGGCGGACAACGGGAAGAGGCAGCAGTTTGGGAACCGGTTGCTGAGCGATCCGGCGCGTGTCTTCCACTACAATGCCTGGTAACCGCCCTTCCCTTCCTCCGGTCTGCGGCTCGTCCTCTGTCCTTCCGCCCTGGACCCTCCGAGAAGCCCCTGACCGCCAGCTACGAGTCCCCTTGCCCTAACTCGAGTCGTTCTGCTTCCCCAGAAGAGGCGCCCCGAAGGCAGCCACTCACCCTGCCGGCAGCTGGAACATGAGGCCCCTAAATTGCCTGTTTGCTTTTCCCAGGGACAATGTGGAGTGGTCGAAAGAGCAGGCCGAGGCGGCGGAGAGGAAAGTCCAGGAGAACAGTACCCAGCGGGTGTGCCAGGAGAAACAAGGTGAGCCTAAGGCGACCCTCGATGGTATCCATAGCCAGCGTGCTGCTGAATGCGCTTTCCGGGAGGCCAGAGAACCGAGGCTGCTAAGAGCCTTTGTTACTGGCCTCGGGGATAGAACCGGAGAGGGAGGGGATGTGCAAGGATGGAAAAGGGTTAAACAGGTAAAATCTTGTTAGGGTGTAGAGGACGTTTTGTTTTCGGTTGATATTATTTTCTAGTGTTTTAGCTTTTAGTTACATCGATTAGACCCATATTCATATGGCTGGCCTTTGGCAACCTCCATAAGATTGTCTTAGAGGATGTATTTAACACATGATTACACTTTGAGGAAATGTTACCTACCAATGAAGCTAGATTCAAGTGGTTATATTCTAAGTGTTTTTGGAGGAGGGGACTAATGACTAACGAATTACGTGTTTTTCCTTGTGTGTCGGCTGTGAGGATTTAAGGCCAAGGAAGGATGGGTGAAACAGAATGGAGATAAGTCTAGCCAAAGAAAAAGAAACTGCTTCTGAAGAGGTGGATGATTTCGCTGAAAAATATCCCTAGATAGTAAAACTAGGACTGGCTGGGCCTATATCCTAAGAGACAATTGAAGGTAGGACTAGAAATTGGGGAGTAGTACCCACTGAAAGATTTTTGTACAACATTTTAAAAAATTCCAGTTACAAAATATTTACCCTACATAGTTTGACAGGGACTAGATCAAAGCAAGTTAAAGTTTAAAGAGATTTTGAAAATCATGTGGTCCAATATCCTCTTTTTACAGTTAAAGAAACTTGGACCGCAGGACACTAAGTGCCTTGCCCAGAGGTAAGCAGTTAGTAGTAGCAGTGGTGGAACTATCCAATTTCTTAGATATTTTCTAATAAGATTTATGTATATTTTTAGAGAAAGGGGGAGGGAAGGAGAAAGATGGAGAGAAACATTGATGTGTGGTTGCCTCTCGCACTCACCTTTACTGTGAATCTGGCCCGCAACCCAGGCATGTGCCCTGACTGGTAATCCAACCGGCAACTGTTTGGTTCACAGATTGGCGCTCAGTCCACTGAGCCACACCAGCCAGGGCCAATTTCTTAGATTTTTATTCTTTTCTACGACGTTAATCAAGATCCTGTATTAACAAAGAGTAGAAAACTGAAATCTAGGACAACCTTGGTCACCTTAAACAACAGCTTTCCTTTAAATAGTCAACACTTTTTTAGTATAGTCTGTTCTCTGACATCAAAACTCTTCTCATCTGAAGACATTTTTTCCTTGTTAGCATTCTCTATTTTTCTTTTAGCCTTCTTTCTATTTTTAGTATCTATTAGTAGTAGAATTCATTTCTAGGCTCTGCATTCTAAAGAACCACAGACATATTTGAAGAACTGCCTATATCAGAACCATTGAGTTCACATGGGAACAAACTGAGTAACCTGGGATATTTAGCTTGTGAAAGAAGATCTAGAGGGGAAAATAATCGCCCTCAAACACAAAAGAGTTGTTTTGTTGGCCTTGAGAAATGGTAGTGCCTTTCTACCAAAAGTGATTAGACAGAATTTTTTGTTTAACATTAGAATTTTCTAATAGTTAAGAGCCGTTGAAAGATGTGGGAAAATAATTGGTAGGTAGTAAGTGTCATGGCAGAAGTTGGATTCCATGGAAGGACAAGTTATGGAGAGAATTCAAGCAGGACAGGTGGTAGGACTAAATGATCTCCATCTCCAAGGCAATGGCTCTAATTGAGCATACTTTTAATATAAAATGATATTCGATGAAGCAAGGTGACAATTGACATTAGATACAAATAAAATACTGAGAAATGGTTCTTAAATTTTTTTTCCCTTAAACATTTACAGTTGATTATGAGATAAATGCCCACAAATACTGGAATGACTTCTACAAAATCCACGAAAATGGCTTTTTCAAGGACAGACATTGGCTTTTCACTGAATTCCCAGAGCTAGCCCCTAGTCAAAACCAGAATCACTTGGTGGATTTGCTCTCAGAGAACAAGAGGAGTCAAGTGCCTGGATGTAAGAGCAGTGAGGATGGACCCGGTTTCATAACAGAAGAACAGCACGAGTGCTCTTCAAACAGCCTTGGGCATAAAACACAGACCCTACCTGTGGTAGAGAATGTAACTCAGAAACTCAGTCACTTGGAGATGCCTGCTGATGAGTTTCCTGGATCCTCAGCCACCTACCGCATATTCGAGGTAACCTCCCTTTATTGTCTGGTAGTAGGGTTAGCAAAGTAATGTGCACATGGTCAGTATAGAGGGGCCGACCGTAAGTGACATGTGTCTGATGAAGATTTGACTCTTAATGCTGGCCAAGAAACACCTCCATTTTTTAACTGAAATGCCCTAAATGCAGACCAAGATACCTGGTGGTTGAGGCAAAGAAAGAAAGATCTCCCAAGGGGCTCCCTGGGAACACCATATTGCATCTGGAAGTTGTAGGTCATGTTGCACGTGTCATCTGTGACAAGAGTCCCAAGATGATTTCTGTTACTTCTCTTATGATACAGTTATAAAGTGGAGAGGTTAGTTGGAATGGTGCCTGCTTCTCAGACATGGGAGAATCCTTGTCTTTTGAGTTTGCGCAGTGTTGCAGAGGCAAGGCTAGACCTGGAAAAGTGTCTAGGTGGGTACTGTAATGTAAATTCACAAATGGTGACTACATACTCCACTGGAAGCTCATTAGGCTTAAGACTGAGTCCTGTGGTATGACCTTGTACTAGTCTCTTCACATCCCCAAACAGAAGGGGACTTCTGGCTCTCTCTGTCTCGTAATTTTTATGAAGATTAATTGAAATAATGTATGTAAAATAGCTAACAGTGTTTGGCATGTAGTAAGCCTTTAGTAAATAGTCACTGTTTTTATTATTATCACACCCAGCACACTATTTAGGACAGTGAAATAATGGTTCCCTTTTCATCAATTTTTCAGCCCAGTCTATTAGAAATGTTTTTCTGCGATACTATGGAGCTCAGTAAGAAAAGAATTCATTTACAGGACCATTCACTAGAATTCAGAAAGTACAACCCATGCCCTTTTTTGAGACCAGCTTCCTCCTGCTAATGAAAGCCCATGCTACCTCTTTAAGGGCTCCTGAGGTCAAGGTCAGGAAATGTCATGGGTACTGTTTAGCTCTGACCACCACTTCATCCCAAATACAGTTAGGTAAGGTTACCTATTGTTGATTACTTACCTAGCTTCAGGTAATTAATTTGGGAAGCTCTGTGATTAATAGTTCATTTCTGTCTGCAGGTTGGTTGTGGAGTGGGAAACACAGTCTTTCCAATTTTACAAACCAACAAGTAAGTATGTTGTAATAAAGTTTAACTATGACAGCAAAGAGGAGGAAAGTGGGGTTTGTTTATCAAAGCTCTTACTGCATCAACTATAACAGTGGGTTATAGGGGATTTGGATCTCTACATTATCTGTTAATGGATTGTTTTTATTTAATCTGATTTATAAGTTACCTTTATCATTAGGGAAACCATTGAGATTTGAAACCTGTCACATTGTTAATTTGTGATACCTTTTATAGTTTCACTCTTAATCAGGAGAGAAAATAGGCATAATCCAGTTTGTAATGTAATTGTTCTACTGTTTGTTTTTCCTGCCCATTTCAGTGACCCAAGACTCTTTGTTTACTGTTGTGATTTTTCTTCCACAGCTATACAACTGGTTCAGGTAAGTACAGTGACCCTATCAGTAAATTTCATTAATTAAAGGGAAAGGGTCTCCTAAAAAAATCATGGTTTCTAGCTATATTCTTATTGTACTGTGGTCTGAAAGTCAAAGATTTATTGAAACAACCTGGAATAAGGGAGAGGGTCAGACATAAATATGGAATCTGCCACTTTCCAGCTGTAGAACTTTGGGCAGGATTTTTTGTTTTTTGTTTTTAATTTTTTAAAAAAGATTTTTTTTATTTTTAGAGGGAGAGGAAGGCAGGAATAAAGAGAGGGAAACATCAAAGTGTGGTTGCTTCTCGAGCATCCCCCAGTGGAGGCCTGGCCCACAACCCAGGCATGTGCCCTGACTGGGAATCGAACCAGCGACCCTTTGGTTTGCAGGCCAGCACTCAATCCACTGAGCCACACCAGCCAGGGCAGGTCTTTTGACCTCTCCAAACATATTTTTGAAGAACTGAAATGAGATGATTGTTCAGTCAAGTTTCTTTGAGTTGCAAGTCACAGAAACATGTAGACAAATTCAGCCAATAAAGTGAAATGTCATAGAACCCAAGAGTGTCAAGTGTAGCCAGGACTGAAACTCAGCCATGAAAAGGTGTCATATACCAAGGCAAGTTGACTGGCCAGTAAGATGTTGCCACCCCTTCTATTACTACACCTCCCTCAAGTTCACAGTGTCTTATCTCTCGCTGCCCAGTGCTCCATTGCCTTTTTAAAATTTGTTTTCTTTTTGCAGACTAGCTTTCAGTAATAGGTTTCTTCTGGTTTTGCACGTGGCCCCAACATGTTTGTCCCTCCCAGCCTGTTGCAGGTCCACCCTGTTCGGAAGTTCTCAGAATCTCACCAGAATGACTGTCCCTGATCCAAAGTCCCCAGGAAGAGGCCGGCTGACCCAGCCCAGCTGCTTGCTCTTTTTAATTAGCTGTGACCAATGAGGAACAAAGTCAGATTTTTGGAGAAAAGAGATGTGAAAAGAAAAGTTTCCCTGAACTGCATTTGCTACAAGTAACATTTTCCTGTAGAATTCTGTGGTCAGTGTAATATGCTATAGTTGGATCAGGAGTCATTTTAAATCATGCTTTTTCAATATGTTTTGTCTTTCTCCTTATGAGGTTCTTCTTCCTCTTGGTCACTTACCTACCTGATCATTTTCTAGTCCTCAGATCTATCTCTGCATCAGTATAAAGTAGAGGAATCGGGAACAGTCCATTTTAAAAACACCAGTTAGATTCCACAGGCTCTTCACTAGAGTTGTTCTTGGTTCTTAGCCTTTGAGTAAGAACGTGTGCCTTAATGATTCGAGCTCTACCCCTCAGAGGAAAGTAGCCACAGTTATACTTAAAGCAAGATTAACTTGTCTTGAGGCTCTGTGAACATTTTCTAACCCGTGTTTCTCTCTCCCAACTGTCTGCAGACAAATTTAGCATATGATCCTTCTCGGTGTTTTGCCTTTGTTCACGACTTGTGTGATGAAGATAAGAATTACCCAATTCCCAGGGATAGTCTTGATATCATCGTCCTCATATTTGTTCTTTCAGCAATTATTCCAGACAAGTAAGTTATAGGTCCCTTAACTAGTAGTGTAACAAAAACAGCTTTAGTGAGGGGCCTTGCTATCAGAGTTGGACCCTGAATAAAAAGTCCTCTTTTTTATTTTTTTTAAGATTTCATTTACTTACTTTTAGACAGAGGGGAAGAGAGGGAGAAAGGGGGAGAGAAATGTCAATGTGTTGTTGCCTCTTATGCACCCCCTACTGGGGACCTGGCCGGCAACCCAGGCATGTGCCCTGACTGAGAATCAAACAGGTGATCGTTTGGTTCTCAGGTTAGCACTCAGTCCACTGAGCCACACCAGCCAAGGCTGATAGACAGAAGCCACTCCATCTAAAGTAATAGAAGCATCTCAACCATTTTCCTAAATTTGTCCTGAAGTTCAGCTTTTGTTTCAGCTTCTAAACCTCTGCTTATTGACTTTAGTGTTTGGTTCTTCTTTTCATTTTTATGGTGTAATATCCCCAAAAAAGGAGGGAGCCATTCTTAATGGGTGTATGGAGAAATTTCCTGTTATCTCACAGCATGCTGTTTTAGAACTGTGAGTGCCACCACTGTTAGATAGTGCCTCATTATTGGCCTTTTAAAATGTTCCGAATAAGTGAAACTTATCAAGAGCATAACATTTACAGTGAAGCTTAACTCTGCCGTTCTCTGATACTTAAGTTCTATGGAAAACTGAAGTTCAGTAGAATTTCATAAAATCAATTTAGATAAAAGACAATTACTATACTCTAAAGGACACTATTAAAGCCTCATAGACATAGGCAACTTGTCTTCCTGGTGAAGTAACTGTCTCAGAGAAGCAGTGTTGGTTGGAAGCCTGGGGCGGTGATTGGTTTTCCCTAGCCCATGTTTCCTCCAGAATAGCACTGAGTCCCCTGACCTGACAGGGATATTGTGAGTGTGCAGTGAAGGCCGATGGAGCACAGCCCAAAGGGCCTGGTCTGGCTCAAAACATGAATGACTGCAGAAGCTTGAGTGCTACAAACTTTTAAAAACTGACACGGACTGAAACAAAGCATTAAAGTTAAAAATAAATTATTAACTATTTAAATAAACTTTCAAATGTTTTTTTGTAATTTTACAGCATTTATACTTCTAAGTAAGAAAAGCCAAAACCTGTCCCAGGCCTCGATATAGAAGGTGTAGAAGGAAATGTGAAACGCTCTGGCCATGGTATTTATTTGCATACTGACTGTCACTATGTAAATGCTAAGTTCTTAAGGTTCAGTCTTTATTTAACGAATGGAAAAATTCAGTCTCTGTGTTCAAAGAGCTTGGGCCTGGTGGGGCAGGCAGATGAGTCCACTGTTAGTCCCGCAGTGAGTGGTCAGGGCAGAGATGGCTCCGCAGGAGGCGAGCCGAGGAAGCGTGGGAAATGAGCCAGGCAGAGCATGTACTCCCCTTGTGGAGCCCTAAGGCAGAAGCATGTTATCCGCAGCTGTGAGAAGACACATCGTAAATTCGGATGTGTGCTCCAGTTCTAACGAAAGCAAGGACAGAGGATCTAAGATTTCAGGGTTACGAAGTCCACTGGGTTTTCAGAATATGCAGTGAGGAAAAGGAATCCTGTCCCTAAAGAGACCTGATGTTCACTCCCTGTTACCTCACAGGATGCAGAAGGCTATCGACAGGCTGAGTGGGCTTCTGAAGCCTGGAGGGATGATACTTCTGCGAGACTATGGCCGCCATGATATGGCTCAGCTTCGGTTTAAAAAAGGTATTTAGCTACTATATTCAAAACAATGGTTTTGTCATCAGAATAGACATAAAAATCAGTGGAACAGAATAGAGACTCTAGAATTATAGCTCCACATACAAAGCCACTTAATACATTACAGGGCTGGTCTGTTTTTGAAGACTTGTATAATCTAGGTATTAGAGAGGTCTTTTTAACCAAGAGAGCTACTTTTACAAGAGCTATTTGTAGAAAAAAAGACATTTGAGTACATAAATAATTTTAAATCTGGTATGGCAAATGATGCCATTAATAAGTTAAAAGACAAATATTTTTGGTGTGTAAAACAGATAAAGACTTAATAACATCTGTGCTTTTCAAGGGACTCTTAGCAAATTGATACGGAAAAGATCAGTGACCCACCCAAAACACAGGGAGGGATATTTTAGGACTGATTCACAGAAGAACATATTTAAGTGGCCAGAAACAAAACTTGGAGGAAATAAAAATAACAATGAGATACCAGTTCTTAAAACTACTGCTGGCCAAATCAAAGAGATATGTTCTTCAATTACAGGTAAAATAAGAATTGTTAACAACCTTTTTAAAAGCACCCTGGTGTATCTAAACAACAAATCAATGTTTCCCTCCCTCTCTCCCTTTTTCTAAAATAAGTAATTTTTTAAAATAATAAATAAAAGCACCATGTATTATCTATTCGAGTCAACAGTCCTTTGGGGAATTTCTCAAGAACCAGCCCATAATATATACATAAGCTAAGCCTTGGAAACAAAGTGAATGCTTCTGGATAGGGGAATGTAATGCTTGTCACTTGAGGTAGATCCCATTCCACTGGTCTTGGGTGGGTGTCGGACGGGGGTTCCATTGTATTACCAATTGAGAAAAGCAGTGTGCAGACGAGTATTTCAAACTTGATCCCACAGATAGCACTGGCTGGAGAGAGATACACAAGTAAGTAAAGCAAATAAGATTATGTTGACATTTAAAAGGTGAAAGATTGCACACCAGGATGTCAAAATAGCATAAAGTCAGGGGGCGGTGAGCAGCAGAAGGGAGAATGCGTCCAAGATAAAAACGACGTGTGTGTCATCATACTTATGAATATGTGTGTGGACATGTGGAGAGACATGCAAAATGGCAGTCACTAAAATGATACTGGTGGCTGTTTTAAGTTTCCTTTCCTTAAATGTAGCTATATTGCTTCATGTTTGCTTATTTTTCTTTTTTTTTTTTAACAAAAAGTATATGGTATTTATTTAATCAGGGAAAGGGGGAAACACAACCTGCTTGAGCACAAAACAGAACTCTAACGGGGCTCAGTCGCATGTGTTAAAGTTTCTCTGATTTTTGCCACATCGCTCTGCAGGTCAATGTCTATCTGAAAATTTCTATGTGAGAGGTGATGGCACCAGAGTTTACTTCTTCACACAAGGTATGAAAGCAACACTTACCTTTATGCTAACACTCCCAAAAATCATATTAAATGTTCGTCCGTGGACTTTCAGGAGTAAGACCATCCGGCCCTCCTCCCACCTTTTGCAGCCTTTTCCTGGCCTTTTCTGTCCTTCACAGCCAACCTGAACCACCCCCTCTTCTCCAGATAGGCTCAGCTCATAAGCCTTCAGTCTTCCACCTTGTTCTTATGCTCTCTGTCCTTCCCTGTCACTGTGTTCAAAATGGGAAAATAGCCCGTTTTGCAAGACTCTAGAGCCGCTGTTTCACCGTGTAAGTGGATTGTGCCCCAGGAGCGTTAGGGTGAACTTAGCGTTCACTGGGTTCCAGCTGCCCCCCAGAGCCGCCCTCCTCTGCTGCTTGCCCAGCTGCAGGTTTCCTCCTCCACCAGCGCCTTAGGATCACTCCTTTGCTGAGCCCCCGGCCAGCAGGGCTTTTCTGAACCTTTGGTTAAAGTGATGGGACCTCTCCCCTTAAAAAAACCCAAAAAAACCCACGGCTTTGATATACATATATGTAGATTTTTACATGTAATATTAAGGGGTTTATTTGTGAAAATTCCTCCCCATCAGCTGACTCTGAGAGAGGCTCTCGCCCGGGTTCGAGGCCACCCCTCACGGATGGTTTGACTTCCCTACCTAAACATGAACTTGCTGTTTCCATGTCACGGCTGCATTTATAGCTAAACAGCCCCACTGAAACCACTTAAAATATAATAAACATGTCTTTTCCAAACTAGATGAATTGGACACACTTTTCACGACTGCTGGACTGGAAAAGGTTCAGAACCTAGTGGATCGCCGATTGCAAGTGAACCGAGGGAAACAGCTGACAATGTACCGAGTCTGGATTCAGTGCAAATATCGCAAACCTCTTCAGTCCAACACGGGCTCCTGACAGGAGGGCAGCTCCTTGGCTTTCTTAAAAGAACATCCACCGATGGTGTCTTGTTGATGTTGGACAGTTCAAGGAATCAAAATTGAGCCTTGAAGCTAGGAAAAACTACTTTTTACCAAGATTCCAACGATCATGCTTCATATTTGTCAAGACCTTTAATGTATACTTTTCTCCAGCTTTTTATTAATTTGAGATCTCAAAGAATCTCTCTTGCCATTTTGTAATATCTTCATAACTGAAATATTCATGGAAATTAGGAATTTTAAAGGCATCAAGAATTTATTTCCATGTGAAAGTATCATCTGTGATAAAGTGTCATTTGTATTTATTACCTTATTTGGGAATTCAAATATGTGGTTTCAAAGTATATTAAGTATTTCTTTCCTTCTAAGTAACCTGTGTCTAAAAACTGAATGGATCATTTTCGTTTATTTTTGGCATTGCTATGCTCTTAAATGTTTGCTGCAAAGAAATTGAGAGAACTTTATCACTTCTGAATGTGATCGATATCAGTGTTAATTTTTTCTATGTTATGCTTTTTTTCAGTTATTACTTTCACATGTTTCTCTCTTGTGGTCCATAAATTGTGGGATATGTTCAATTCTTCATTCCTTCATTTTGGATTTTCAACTTAAACTTTAACATTCTCATAATTGTTTTATTATTGTAGTTACATATGTGAAAATCTGAAAAGACACAAGCAATTTTTTAAATAAGGCCAAACTTACAGAAAAGTATAGTATCAGGAATATTACAAGGATAGTTTTTCTCTGAGTCGTTTTTAATAGTAAGTTGGAAGGTAATGTCTCAGTACTAGTACATATTTTAATATGTAATTCCTGTTATGGGACATAACCAAATAAGTCCATCAGAAGTAGAAACGTACGTGGAAACACTGCCATCCACAGAAAACCAAGTTCTCTCAATATTCTCAATATATCCTTTATCACTTAAAAAAAAAAAAAAACATTTTGTTGCTTAGTAGTCATGTCTCAGCATCCTTCAAGCTTGTTTTCATGACTTTGACATTTGAAGATTACAGGCTATTTTGCAGACTGCCCCTCAAATTGGGTTTACTGCTATAACCTCATGATTTGGTTCAAGCTCTACCATTTTGGCAAGAATATCAGAAGTGAAGCTATGCTTCTTCCATTGTTTCCTACTGGGATACATGCTTCTGAATTGCCCCTTTGGTGATGTTAACCTCGATCACTTCACTGAGGTGTTGTCTGCTGGGATTCTCCACTGAAAAGCTACTAATAAGCATTTTGTAGAGTAGTGCTTTGAAACTATAAAAACCCCATTCCTTACCAAACTTTACCCCCTGGTTTCAGCTTTTGCTTTTTCTTAGCTTATTACTCATCTGATGGTTGTCACAGTGTATTTTATTTTGGTTTGGTTTTATTTATTTTTAGAGAAGGAGGGAGGGAGAAAGAGAAAGAACAGCAATGTGCAAGAGATACATTGGTTGCCTCTTGTACTCCCCCAACCAGGGACGTGGTCTGCAACCCAGGCATGTGCCCTGGCTGGGAATTCAGCCAGCAACCCTTTAACTTGAAGGCTGGCACTCGATCCACTGAGCCACACCAGCTAGGGCTGTCTTTCCTGATCCCATCGCTTCTATATTTATTTGTTGGTGTTCTATAAGGAGTGCTTTTTTTCATCCATTTGCTTAAGATGAACTGATGGGGTACTTTTAATGCAATGAGAATATACTATCATTATTTTGATGCTCGTATCCCAGATTTGGCCAGCGGGAGCCCCTTGCAAAGCTGCTGTAATCTTTTGACACGTTCCTATTATTTCTTGAAAACTGCACAGGTTGTTCTAGGCTCATCTTGCACTTTGCCCCAGTCTGAATCGGCCATTTTCCTTAAGGAGTTCTGTTTCTTGAGCAGAGAAAGGTATTTAGAAACCAAGCTAAATGTGCTCATTACTATTGGGATGTTTCCATTCCTAGGCCACCTAGTTGGATGGAGCCGAGGAATAGATGTATGTATGTATATAAACATTTGCATCTATGGTTCTATACTTATATGTATTGAAAACCGTCAGTTCAGCTGTGGCTGGTGTGGCTCAGTGGATAGAGCACCTGTTTTGATTCCCAGTTGGGACACATGTCTGGTTGTGGGCCAGGTCCCAAGTTGGGGACATGCAAGAGGCAACCAATAGATCTTTCTCTCCCTTTCTCTCCCCCTATACATAAGAGTTCCCTTTTCCAACAATCCCAAACTCACATGATCCCCATTACTGTATTTTGTTGTGTATAATGTGCACCCACATTTTTGCACACATGCACAGGATTATGTAATCATACCTATGTATAATGTGGATCTTTATTTTTCCCTCAAAATTTTAAGCAAAAAAATGTGCATTAAACACAGCAAAATATAGTGTATTGGGCCGATCTCATACATAACAATGTGCTACCACCCACACATAGATGACCTTCTCACCTCTCTCAGGCTCTGACACTCCAAGCCACTGTCGCCACCATTTCCTTATATAGACACCCTCTTCACCCTGCCCTGGGCCCAGTAATCCCCTGGGGCCACCACCCCTTGGCCCCTGTGCTAACATCTACCTTGCCTGGCTTCACTTAATGAGTGAAAAGGTGGGAGGCAAGGGAGCTCTGTCTTTTCCATTACATTGAATTTATTTAAAAGGAATAGACTGAGTCACTGGAATGGTATTTTATATATATTTTGAAATGAAGAACAGATACATTAACTCAGTGGTCCACTGAGGACCCTCCTTTGGCATCTCTGAAGCATTTCAAAGCAACAGGAACAGGTTTTAGTTCGCGTTCCTAACACCTGACTTGGGCCTTAGGTAAAACAGATGAGCCTCTTCCTGCTCCCCGCCTCCGCCCCGCTCCATTTTATTCGCCATCTGCTAAGCTCTCCCTTTGCTATCTGACTTACCTGTCAGGCTAACTTGAACTCCCTAAGGGATTTTGCATAATTTTTTCAGCCTTAGACTTGCTAATGGTGGGCAGAGGACAATTAAACATGGTCAGGGTAGATTGAAGTATGACCTTAGTGCCACTCAAAAAAACAGACTGGACTATCATGCTGACTCTTAATGGCATCTCTTGATATTTTTCATGGAAAAAAGAAAAGTGCTGCGTTGGCTGGGAAGGTAGCTCCACGTGTGAAACTGCTCAGGAAGTTGTGTGGTTTAGATTCGAGTATAATAGAGAAGTGTTTCTGAAACTGACTGATCTTCCTAAGCAGTGTTAATTCAGCTGAGGAGATGAAGTTCTGTGATGTTTGAAAAATGAGAGACAGTTTAATTTAAAACAGGTGCACTGGAACGATTGGAGTGGAGCCATGTTCCTGAAGACGATGTCCAGGTCAGGGTGTAACACAATCACCCCGAGAGCATGGGTCCTTACACCACAAAAGTGATTCATCTCTGATTTTGTGTATTTTGAGCCTGGCCTCTGCTAATACTGTCAAACCTATGCTTTGTAATTGGTCCACTACCTGCCCTCATATAAGTTCATACTCTCTTGGGCTCTGGTTGGAAAATTAGGACCTTGGAAACTTAGTAAGAAAGGAAACTCTAATGGACTAAGACATCCTACTTTCCTCTAATTGATTCCTCTCTTTACTTAAAGATGTTACTTTAGTAATAGTGAGTTCTATCTGTGCCTTACAAGGTGAGCTCAGGACAAATAGTTTCTTTCACTCTTCACAAAGGCCTGTTCTTTGGTTTGTGGCTGCAGCTGCTATTTTCAGAGTCTGGCTGCATCGAAGCATTACAGATTTTTGTATGTTTCTTAATTTTGTGTGCAGGTTATGATTTGAGAGGTGGAGGAAGTGCTGATGATGAGTCTCACAGGTAAAAACACTGAAAAATAGGTCACAGTCACATCACTTTATTTCAATGAATTTCTAGGTTCAAGATTGGACCTTATCTCGACTATAGGGGACTGCACTGTGTAATCAAGTTACAGGACAAATAGCCACACAATCAGATCCTATGCTCCAGTCGGGGACCCTAAGACACAGTAGCCGGAAGCCTTGACCAAAAGCTCAAGCTTGGCATCTTCTTCCTGAGGTGAGCCCCAAATTGCATTCATTTATTCATTCATTCCCTACTTTTCTTTCTCTGTATTCGGATTTCTCCATTAAAACTTGAAATAGCCTTAGAAAGAGCCATTGTTTTAAACATTGATCAGTAATGGCATGTTAGACAAATACTTCCCAGGGGATGGCCAGGACTGGAGGAATCCCTGAGGTACCCTGCTCTTGGTAAGCCCCCACGCCCTCCTCAACCTTGCTTCCCATTACTCTATTTATTGGGTGATTAAGGCTGACACTCAATGGAGCTCACTAATGATGAGTTCCTTGGGGGATGTTTGTATTCTCAACACTTAGCACAGCACTTGGCCTTTGGTTGGAGCTCATGAAGGAGAACTGAATGACTTAGTTCCTTCTTCCTGCTGTGCCAGTACCCTCCTATCTCCAGAGACACCCACTGACACAGTTTGCATTTAACTACAGAAGACCACAGCATAAGCGATTGTGGTCGCAAGCACCAGCAGCTCGAGCTGGCTGAATGAGAAAACACAAGGTAGGAGAAGATAGGGTCTCGCGGACTCCCAGGGTAGAAATGTAGCGAGGCCTCAGAAGAGCCCTTGGAAGTGTGACTCACCACTACTCCACTAGGCTCTCTAAGGACCTTCTTCTCTCTTGCCCTCAGACTATTTGGAGGAGGAGACCATAACCTACCTCTGAAGGCTTGATGTCTCAGTAATACAGGCATGTCATGTGTGTGTTTGTGGTGTGTATGTGTATGTTTAGGTGTGATGTGTTCAGTTCCCAGGTGGGTTTACAGGCCAGGCAGAGTCCCCCAAAAACAATCGCAGAGTACTGTTTTTGTTTCATCTTCCTAAATATTGACCTCCAAGTACCACAATTATTTGATCTTTAAAAATTTTTTTGTTTACCTTTTAGAGAGAGGGGAAGGGAGAGAGAAAAAGAGGGAGAGAAAGATCTATGTGCAAGAGATACATCAATTGGTTGCCTGTCGCATACCCCAAACTGGGGAACCTGGCCCATAACCCAGGCACGTGTCCTGACTGGGAATCGAACCTGAGACCTTTTGGTTTGCAGGTTGGCATTCAATCCACTGAGCTACACCAGCCAGGGGAATTTTGATCTTTTAAAATTACTCACATGGTTAAATTTATTTTTAAGGAAATTATCAGTGCTATAAATGCAAAACAGTATCAATTGTCATGAACAGAAGGTACTTTTTAAAAAATAAAAAGAATGAAAACAAAAGCATAGTATAAATTCTAGCTGGATCCCATTGCTGGTCAGAGGCTCTGATCCATAGACCTGGAAACAGCAGTGAACAGAGCAGACAGGATCAGCTCTCTTGGAGGTCACATTCGGATGGGGTGATCCCAACAAATCCATAAAATGTGTATCAGGTAGGCATGTGCTAGAAAAAATTAGGCAGGGTAGGAAACAGAGAGAGGTGGCAGGGAGCAGAGGAAAGCACTCTCTGGGACAGAGTAGTCAAAGAAGGTCTCCTGGAGGAGCTGACATCACTCGGGATGTCTC